TTGTCTCTTCCTGAAGTTCTGGGGTTCCTCTGCTTGAACCTCAGCAAGGTGATAAGGCCCTTGATATTTGCTGTTGTTGGTCCTCCTTCCTCTTGGATGCATATAGTAGTTCCTGGATGGAGCTTGCTTCTGTCTCACTATGAACAGTTGTTTTCAACTTTCAAGTTAATTACTGAGATATAATATTTCAAGGGATGACTTTATGTAGATACTTACTGAGATAATGTTTTATGACATGTTTTAAGTGTACAGCCTTACAATTTAACATGTGTGTAAACTTCACCATTAGCAAGTCTAAATTTCATCCACCACCATACAATTCACTCCCTTTACCTGTTTCACCCATGCTAAAAAATTACTTTGTACGTATTCTATCCCAGGAAATATGCTAAGCATGGTGCATACTTGCTTTCATATAATCTTTACAAAAACCTCCTTAGGGAAGTACTTTTAAACAGCTATTATAGGTAAGGAAGCTGAGGCTTAATGTAACATGCTAGGAACTGGTGGGCTTAGACCCTTATATTTGCTTTTTTGATCTGAGGCCTGTTTTCTCAACAATATGCTGTATTATACTGGGGGAGACTCTCACTTGATCAATTTATAGACAATCCAGGTTGGTCAAATCTGCCAGAGTATAAATTGAGTGTCTGTCTGTTTCTACACTGTTCATGGGTCTTTAGATATTTTGTATTTTATCTGTATTTTTGAAAAAATGTCTACAGAAATTTTTCATGGATCTGTAGATATGTTTTACATTTTAAATTAAACACATGTACATGATTTAATAAGCTGATCCTCCTTATGGATTTTCTATCCTTTAAAACAGATTAAAATACATATAATTATCATCAGTTAACATTAACCTGACAGGAGGCTGGATTGCCAGTTTCAGAATTGAAATATGCAGGAGGAAAAAAAAACCTCCTTACTTCAAAAAACAACCACCTAGTTTCTATTTCTAGTTGTTTTGTTAAATCCTCATTACAAATGGCTTTTTGTTGTTTCTGCATCTGACAAGGATTGTGATTGCCATCTCAATGGATGGGTGTGACTGAAAAGATGATACACAATCTAACATTCTTCCCAAGTTAATTTTGTTCTCCTTTTCCATCTCTTACCCACTTCGCTGAAGTGATTAACAGAAAGAGCTTTTAAGACAAAGGAAAAACTTATTACAAAGGCCCCAAGAGGGAATGGCTTGTGGACTATGAGTTTAGAATGTTCCAGGAACAGTGAGGAGGGCATTGTGCGTAAGCAGAGGGCAAGGGGAGGGCAAATCCAGATAAAGCTGGAGAGGTTGGCACGACTACTCCTTCAGGGCACTGCAGACCACACCCAAGAGTTCACACTTTGGAGCTGATGAGCAGTCACAAAGGGCAGGAACAGGCTATGTCACCAATGCCAGATGTAAGAGATTATCTCATTTTACCTCCACAAATCAAGAGAAAGATTTTGACCTGAGTTCTTAGTAGTTTTTTAGGCAGTTTTAGAAGTCAAATAATGTTTTATTATTTCACAGTGACATGCTATATTATTCATTATCCTGGAGAAGTTATCTTCACTTTCTTCTATGGACATATACACATGGACATATAAATTTTATGTGCATATAAATGTTATGTGCCAAAAGCAGCCTCTATATAGAGAGCTCTTACGGGATATTTAACACATCAGTATTAATTGAACAAATGCCTATTTTGTAGAAACTAGTTGAACTGCCTTTATTTGGTCTTCTAGAGTTCTCAGAATTAAGTTCTTCAAACTGAATATTTCCTAAATAGTATTTCAAGGCTCCATACTTCACGTGTCAGTTCTATAGCCTTTTATAGAAATAGCTGCTTTTTCATTCTGACTTATTTCATTGAGCATAATTCCTTCTAGCTCCATCCATGTTGCTGTGAATGGTATGAGTTTATCTTTTTTGATTGCTGAATAGTATTCTATTGTGTTTATGTACCACATTTTCTTGTTACAATCATCTATTCTGTGTGTAGGGTAAGGAAAAATGTCAGGCTTTTCTGCCCTCCCGCCATCAGGATAGATGATGGATCCTTGTCCTGAATGCATGCCTGATGGCGGGCACCTGCAGTAGGGTGTGAGCATAGGTAGATAGGATTCAACTGGGCTAAGACTGGGCTTTTAAGGGCATCACGGGGACGCCAGCAGAAGCAGAAAGAGAAGGAGAGAAGCCAAGAGAAGCTGAAAGAGAAGCCAAGAAGCCGAGAGAAGAAAAGAAGCCAGAGAGCCCAGACAGAGTGAGGACTTCCTGGGGGCTGGGAGGACTGCCAGTCTCCCGGCCCCCCAGCACCCCTGACTGCCATATGCCTGGTGAACCCCAATAAAAGCCTGAAAACCCGCTGAGGGCCCTAGGACTCTGACTCCTCCTTTGCCCGGTCTGCTGGATCGGAAAACCTGCTCCGTGTCTAGTCCTGCCTTTACACTGTGACATTTAGGTTGTTTCCAGGTTTTACCTATTATAAATAGTGCTGCAATAAACATAGGGGTACAGGTATTTTTTTGAACCAACAACATGTGAGTTCTAATTACCTTATGTCCTACTATTTGGTATTGTCAAGTTTTTAAAATTTTGTTTATTTTCACAATTGTGTAGAGATTTCATTGTGATTTTAATTTGCTTTTTCCTAAGAACTAATAATGTTGAGTATTTTTTCATGCTGGAAACATTCCAAATAATGAATAAACTGTGGAATGTCCGTACAATGGCATAGTAATAGGCATAAGAAGGCGCAAACTATTCATACATGCTAGTACATGAATTTGTCAAATGAATTATGCTAAATGAAAGAAGCCAAATAGAAAAAAAACTATACATTTATAATGTCTTTATATCAGACTCTGGAAATGTCAAAACAATAGGGATAGAAAACATGTAAGTGATTGCCTAGGGTTGTAGATTAGGGGAGGGGATTTACTGCAGTGAGGCCACAGGGAATTTTTGACGTGATGGAAATTGGCATAATTAGAATAGTAATTATATGAAGGCATGCATTTGTCAAAAATTCATAGGGCAATACACTTAATTTTCACATCACACCCATTAGGATAACTACTATTTTAAAAAAAAAACCACCAGAAAATAAGTGTGGGTGAGGATGTAGAGAAATTGAAACCTATATGCCTTTTTTGTAAGAATGTAAAATTGTGGGGTTGTTATAAAACAGTGTGGGGTGTCTCAAAAATTTGGAAATAGAATTATCGTATTATCCAGCAACTCCACTTCTGGATATGTAATATCCGAAAGAACTGATATTTGCGTACACATGTAAATTGGGTTGTTATTCACATTAGCCAAGAGACAGAAGTAACCCAAGTGCCCATCAAATGATGAATGGAAAAAGGAAATGTGGTATGTGCATCCAATGGAATGCTCGTCAACTTTCAAAAGAATGAAATCCTGGTACTGTAATTTGTATGAAACTTGAGGACATTTTGCTAAGTGAAACTAGCCGATCACAAAAGGGCAAATACTGTATGATTCTACTTACACAAAATGTCTAAAGTAGTTAAGCTCAGTAGAAGCAGAATTGTCAGAAGTTGGGGCAAAGGGTGAATGGGGAGTTGTTTTGCATCAATATAGAATTTCAGGTTTCTAGAGAGCTTCTGCAAAACAATGTGAATATAGTTAGCACTATTGAAATGTATATTTAAGTGACAAGTTTTAAGTTATGTTTATACCACTATTATTTATTTTCAGGTTTTTTTAGCATTGCTGGAAATAGGTAATACATCTGGATTAGTTTCCAGACATAAATGTTGGTGAACTGTTCAGAGTGCCTATCACTTATTACTGTGAAAAATTCTGATTATTAGCAAATGTTTGAGAAACACTGAGACCATGGAATTGTCCTGTTTCTCAACACACTTTCCTCTTTAATGTTTGATAATCCTTGTGTAAAACAATCTACAACACAACACAACAAATTTTCCTGCTACACAACTCCTTCCAGTATATTTTTATATCTTCATTGGAGGAGGGGTCCACTACTCATAATGATAAAACAATATTGCAAAGTGCCCTGAAAACATCAGCCCCTTCATTTGTTGACTCAGGGACCGGCGCCAATACTGGGGACTCCAGAGACCCTGAAATGCACTGGATAAGGGGGCAGGCAGAGTTGGCACCTAGGATGGAGGGTGCAATGTTGAAAAGTTGCAGGGGTGAGGGTGCAGAGTGGAAATTACTGACTTGAAACTCAGGCTCAATACAGAACAGCTGGAGCCTGAATGAGGTGGAGGGGTTTGGGGGGAACAGGTTGGGTTACCTATGTCTCCTCACAGAGGTTGCTACTCACCATTCAGCTGAGATAGTCAAAACACCTGCCACTCCCAACCCCAGGGCTAAAACAAAATAACAAAGGAAGATGGAATAAACTAGAATTCAAGCACCTGTTAAAAATAAGCAGAAACGCCCCAGGATAAGGTTCCTTGCTGGACAAGAAAACTCCAGGCCTGTGACTCCATATCAACTACAAACCATGCCCAATGCTGCATCTAGTGCCCAAAATTACTCTAGAGCAGAAGTGGACAGGAGACTATGAGAAACGTGTTTTGCAAACATCCCAGGCCGCCTAGCTTCAGGCAGCTTGAAAGAGCAACTTGGAGCCCTTTGGTATCATCCCCACAGGTTTTTAATATGCAGGGAAAACAAGCCAGCAGGGAGACAGCAACTTGAACCCCTGCGAATCTTTATTTACACTTTCCTTGGGGGTTTCTCTGGCGTACTCCCATGGTCTCTTCTTCTTGCAGCCATTCCACTGTACCTTGTATGTGACACCACCCCCATAGCCTCAGCCTCAGGCTTAGGTCCCACGCCCATACCATGTTCCAGGTGTCAGCCATCAGGCATGCATGCCCCAGGCCCATGCTCCCAAGCGCCTTCTGCATTCAGGGCCACAGGTGATAGCCCTAGAGGCTGGCAACACAAAAACCTGACCATCTTCGTTTATCCTACAGACTCTTAAGACTGAGGACTGGTCTAGAGGGAGGCGCCACTGTGGATCCCACCTCACAACTCTGGTACCCCAGCACCGTAGGAAGCTTGAATTCCTGAAGGGACTCCTTTGGTGCCTTACAGCCCTTGTTTTTCTTTTAATCCATTACCCCTCGCAAGGACCAGTTTTCCAATTACTTCAACAGGCTGAACAATCTGAAAGTCTACCCCGATTACAATCCATAAAAATTAAAAATGGGAGACAGAAGAACATGCCACAAACGCTGGAGTAAGCAGCACCCCTGAGAAGAGTCTCAGTCCAGCAGAACTGCAGACTGTGACGGAAGAGAATTCAAGGTAAGAGTGCAAACACTTAAGAAACTCAAAAAAATCCAAACGAGGCCATAAGATAGAAAACTGGGAAAATATTGCTTTGTCTATTAAGGATCATATGCTTGTACGTAGAGACTCAGTGAGAGAGAACAACAGCTTTCTCTTTGGCGCAACAGTTTGAAGTTACTAAACTTATAATTAAAGAGGAGCAACTTCTAAGGTGGTCTGTCTTCTAAGGGGAAGTTATTGCTCCATCTTCTACACAATGCTCAGCTGAAGAAATTCCCACTTAGAAGCTATTTGAGGTCATTTCTCTACCAAAATACATTTTTAAAAGGGAGTAGAGTGAAAATTTATTGTCTATAAAATCAGCAAACTTGATTTTAAAATAATGATCCAAAATCTTCATTCTAAAAATCCTTGACCTTTGAATTAATGGTAACTTCCTTCTCAAAAGGTGACCTTTATTTTTTCCCTAGTCTTAGCCTTAGCCATATGGCCTGATTTCGTGACTAGAAGTTGGCAGAAGTAGTGATGTTCCAAGGCCTTATTAAAAGGTAAACTGAGGCTTATTAAAAAATTGTAAGACTTTATTTGAGCAGAAATTAATTCAAATTGGGCAGCAGTGCCACACTGGAAGTGGAACATTCCTCTGGGGGCTTGGGGAGGGGAGACGTTTACAAGGAAAAGCTGGAAGCGAAGTGTAGAAAGTCATTGGCTAGGCCTAATCTAGTTGGCAGTTTGTGATTGGTTGGCCTTAGCGTTTTACTTTTAAAATCTTTGCACTTGCAGATGTAGATTTCCTTAGGTATGCTGCTGCTGCATTAAGAGGCCATGCCAGTCTAGTAGGCTCCGTGTTTAATCAGCTTAAAGCTTTAAGAGAACTTGCTTATTTTCACTTTGTTGAATTTCTGAGCCTGCCATGTTAGCCAAGCTGGCTTGCTAGAGGACAAAAGGTGTAGCTCTTTCAATCCTGTGGCCACACAGCCCCTGAAGCCGACCTATGTAATGATTGGCATTTGACTGCAGACACGTGAGGCAGGTGAGATAGGCCTGCTAAGCTCAGCACTGTACGGTGAGCTGAACTACTGACCCAGAATCATGAGCTATGTAAATATTCATTATATTAAGCCGTTAACTTTGGGGTGGCTTACTAGGTGCTGGTGCTACTATTGAAATAAGTTTTCACAGGTGAAGTGACATCTGAGTTGTATTTTGAAAGATGAATGAGTGTTTATTTTTTTTCTTGTTTGAAGTTTTTGTTTGGTTCGTTTTTGAGGGGATCATGGCAATACCCTCTGTGTCTGAGACAAATTGGTCTCAAGGTTGTTGTAGGATAGTCTAGTTATTACCCTTTCCTTAGCCCTTGAGATAACAGCACAGGATCACCTGAAATAAAGTGCACAGCCCCTTCCTTAAGGGGTGTGCCGTCTAACTGGAAAGGCGTCATACATGCCAAGGAAATAGCAGAAGGGGAAAAAAATGCATGAAATTGGTGTCTCATGGCTGACAGGGTACCCAAGCAAAAGCTACTAAAATTTTACTATGAGTACCACCCTTTGTCATTTAACACACAATGCCTGATTTTGTCATTTAACTTCCTGTTTTGATGCACGGTCTCCATTGCTGGGACTGTGTAATTCTGAGCTACAAAAGCAGAGGCCTCATCCATAACTGTCTCTCTTCTTACGGTGACAAGCACATAGCTGGCCCATTTAGATGCTTAAAAAAAAAAATAAAGGTTTAGCGTAAATGAGGTTTGGAGAGGGTCAGGTATTTTCCACAGCCTTGAGCTTGCTCCAGACCAGAGTGGGTGTTGCCTCTTTAACTGTGGTATCCTGGCTGAAGGCCAACACTTAATTGTTGATGACCCTTCCTTTTCTGCTGGCCATGGAAAAAGTTCATGAATTTCTTAAGAAGGCAGATGTGATGGCTCTAGAGGTTCAGTGCCCATAACCTGCAAAACGCTGAATGCCTGGCTAAGCTATAGGAAGCCCACACCCCACTCCATTTGTTCACCCCCTGGAGGCCAGAGATTACTCAAATTCTTATTTGTCAATGAGTGCTTTTTTAAATTATTTTTATTGGGGTAACTGGTTTACAACACTTTATATATTTTAGAGGTATAAGTTCACACCTCTCATGTATGTTACCACATCACACCCACCACTACCAAAGCGCCTATGATCTTCCATCACAGCCTGAAAATGGGTGTTTTAGGGTACCTCCTGCTGCCCTGGGTCAGCTCTCTCAGGACTTCCCCCAATCTTCTTCATTTCTACATATATGCTTGTTTACTTACATGTTGAAATTATACAAAATTATAAAGAAGAAAATAAGAATTACCAACAACCCAGAAATAATAGCTTCTGGTATATATTTGTCACATATATGTAGAGTGTGTATGTGTGTAAATTTCATGCTGTTCAAACTTTTTATTTTCCAAACAGTATGCCACAAATATTTTTACATGTTTCATTGTCAATATGCTTCCACCACAGCATTTTGACATTTGTCTGTTATTTCATTGTGTACCATGATTTCCATAACATAATCCATTTTGATGACTTAAACTGTTGCCAATCCAAAAATCTGATTACTGTCAACAAGGCTTCTATTATACATAAATGCTCTTATTTATAAATTTAGGGACACATCTGTGATTTTGGCTTGGAGAGTATCATAGAAGTGGATTTTCTGGGCCAAAGGATATGTTTAGTGTTTATTTAAAATGTATGTGCCAGACCACTGCTCAGGTCTGGAAATTTAATGGTGAATATACTAGATATGATCCCTGCTGCATAAAACTTCCAGTTACATGGTTATGGGGCAGGGAAGAGACAGTAAAAAGATAGACATAGATATATGATGATCAATTGCAATTGGTATGAAATAAAAGGATGAGCTGTTGGGAGAAAATAATGGGAGACCTAATTTGGATGGCATGGTCAGGGAAGAGCTTTTCAGAGTCAGAGACCTAGATAGACAACCAGGAGTTAGCAAGGCAAGGATGCAAACAGCATTTCAACCTGTCCAGTGGTTGGAGCAGCTGAAACCAATAGAAAGCTTGTCTACTGATAGATGGCTACCGACACGGCTCTTCAGGGAATGGAAATGTCCTGAGGATGGACATCACCAGCTTTCTAGAGAGGGGCTGTGGCCATGTATGTGGTATTTCCTTAATATGTTATTGGGGATATGTATTGGGGAGAGTCCTGTCCAGACATGGAAGTAGCCTCTCCCTTCCCTTGGAAATCCTGGCATGCCATCCAGTTTTGCAACTTTTCAACCCGTTGCCAATCAGCTCTGTTGACCTATTGGCTCCTCGGTGCTTGGGGAAGCCTGTACTATTTCTTGGTTGGTTCTCCATAGGGCAGAAAGCTGGAGTAGACTTAATGTCTGGGTGGTAGTGTTCATAAGTTATCTTCACTTTTTTTTTTTAAGATTTATTTATTTATGCATACAAGAGCTGGAGTATAGGCCAGAGGTGTGGGGGTTGAGAGGATTCACCAGAGACAGAATGGGGAACAGGACAGGTGGATTGACTGAAATACATTGTTGAGCGGGCGAGTCAGGAGAGGTTTGCTTGCCATGTGGGTAGCTCCCTGGCTGGGGATCTAACTCGTGCTTCAGAGGCTGTGGACAGCTTCATAGGTTGCGTCTTAACCCCTTGCGCCACCAGGGAGGCCCCAAGTTATCTTCACTTTCAACCTGGAATTTACATATCAGCTATTCAAACACCTCAGAAAAGTTGGTTGGCCTTTGACTAACTGCAATCACAGGCTTAGAAAATCAAGCAATATTTATCAAATGGAGTCAAAGAATATTCAGAGAATATCACAAATAGGTTAACAGTAAAAAGGATTAAATGGGATAATCATTCTGGTTCCTGGAAAGTAATATTAAACTACATAACTCTTTTGGAAGCTAGACAAATAAGTTATACTATGGCACAGCGGTTGAGCGCTGGGCTCCGAAGCTGCCCACAACCTCTGCTGCGCTGGTTCGATCCCCAGCCACCCAGTGAGGGTCCCACATGGCGCGCAGACCTCTCCTGCCACCCACTGCTCCCCTCAGCAGTGTACTTCATCAGTCTGCCTGTTCTGCTCTCCACTCTGGCTCTGGTGAATTCTCTCACCCTCCTGTGCTTGTGACTGTACCCAGTGCTTATATAAATAAATAATTTTTAAAAAAAAATGAATTACAGAGAAAAGGAAGAAACTGAACCACTTATTCTGGATAATGGCAGGAGAATGAACTTGCTAAGAATTTTGGGTAAGCATAGATATTTCTGGATAACAGGGATAAGAGAAAACTGGGTAGCTTTTCTGGATAACAGAGAGAGGCAGCCCAGAAAAGGAAGTAGGGTTGCACCTTCAGCCCATAAAAACTAACCACCTGAAGGGAGTGTGAGCAATGACGACTTCCTTGTGTGGCCATAAAGCACAAACAGAGGAAGCTTGTGCTTAGGGAGGCAGGTGCTCTGGAGCTTGTTTATTCCCCAAACCCTCCATTGCTGCTCCATATGGTCTGGAGTTGGTGGACCTCACAAAGTATCAACCACCACATTCTTAAAATAGAGTACATTTGTGACCCTCCCAGGTTTTCTTAGAGACAGAAATATAAAACTAGCATCTTGGAAATGCCCAGATGAAAGGACCTGGGGATCAATTTAGGGATGCTCAGAGTTGGACAATTTAGTGGCTTAGACATGAGATTTTACAATTAGAAAGGAACTGAGTCATATCCAGTCTGAATCCCTTATTTTACCTTTGAGGAAACTGAGGCCTAGAGATGGGAAATGACTTGGCCAAGGCCTCACAGGCAGATCATGGCAAAGCTGGGACTAGAAGCCACAACCTCCAACTCCTGGACTGGTTCTTTATAATGACAAACTGAAAGCCATCTCTCAGGAATTGAGAATAACTTTCTGGCATAAGCTATTAAAACTGAACTCTGGGACAGAATGGAAATGAGTATTAACAAAATGAGTATTAACACTTAAGAGGAGCCTTCTGTGGAAT